ACCTAAGTTTTCAGCAGTAAATTTAACCATTATAATATTCACTTATGTGTTTATAGTTGTTATATAGTTTAAAGTATGATTTTGATGTAAAACATAGTTCATAAATAAACTTATGTTTAAATCTATTTTCATTTTACATTTGACCAATCAAATTAAATCTGATTTCTTATAGATGCATGAGTGATTATGTTTGGAGCTGAAGGTATGTTGATTTCCTGCGAAACTGCAGGCGAAGACTGCCAGTAAACACAGTCATCCAGATGTATGTTTACGGAAAATTGTGAATCCAGAGAACACCCACCGCCATAGCAGAAGTGGGTTCATGCCGACATCCGGGGCAAACCCAGAGAGCACCCACCGCCATAGCACAAATAGTACTCACCGGAAAAGCCCAACGCCCCCACCCACACAGCAACAGAGAGGAAAAGAAACACAACACAACCAGACCAATACCCATCGCCAACAGAAAATGAAAGAAGAGGGGAAGAAAAAAGCCAATAAAAAAAATTAAAAAACAAACGGAAGGGAACTCACCGGGCAAACTGAAGGAGTCGAGAGGAATAAGATTAGATTGAATCGCTGTACTTGTAGGCGATCAAACGGTGCACAATCATCAATCCCAGCAGCTGCATCATAGCCTTGTGCGGTCCACAGAAGGGAGATATTTTGCGTTGGTGACCAGCAGGTAAGGAAATTAACAGAGAGAACGCCGTTGGAACTGTAGCTACGGAATAGCACCACAGGTAACTGTCTTCCGCGCTTTAGAAGAATAGGAAATATATATATATATATATATATATATATACACACACATACACACCAGATTTTCGACCCAGGGTTATACTGTAAACCAAGCCTGGAAATCGCTTCTAATACCTTCCCCTTCGTGAGAGGAATTCAGCGGTGAAAGAATTATTGAAAACGATCGTGAAACGAGAGAGATATCGTTTGCCGGAGTTTCGCCGGACTAACCGTAACGACGGAAAACGGAGAAGAAGGAGGAGCCGACGCTGCCGCCAACCCATCACTGACCTTGGCTGTCCCAAAAGGAGTGCACCGCCGCTATCGTTCACCCGCCGGTCGAGGTAATTCCCTCTTCCCCTGCGTTTGCCGTTTCCGACGTTTTGGCGAAGAAGACGACCCAGCTTTGAGGTTGGGGTCTGTCTTTTGGGCCGGTTTTGCTTGGGCCGTGCTTCTTTTTATTTTTCTGGGCCAATAGTAATTTGTTGACTGGGCCAACTCTAAAATAATAATAATAATAATAATAATAGTAATAGTGATAATAATAATCTGCAAAATTGATAAATTTGAGATGAGCAAATATTAATGGTGAAATTGGCTTGGTTAATTACTAGTAATCACTTGGATAATTTTGTTAATTGTTATTTGACATAATTAAATAATATTAGATGATAAATTGAATTGATGGTGTAATTAATAAATGATTATCATATTAACATAATAATAATTTATTTGGACTTAGTACCATAATTAGATTAAATAAATTGGATAGATATTATTTTCACTAATTATTGGATTAATTGAAGCAGAGTAATAAAATAAATTAACATAATTACGAATTCGGAAATATTAAGTGTTCGGGTAATTAATAAAATCAGAATACGTTATAAGCGATTAGTTAATTTAAATAGTTGATATAAATTAATTACAAAAAAATTAACTGCTTAACTAATTATAACTCGGATATGTTTTAATACTGTTAAAATGTACTAGTAATTGATTAGTTTGATGTTTTATTAGTAGAGTAAATTAATGGTGGTTAATAAATTAAAATTTGGATAGTTTTATATGAATTAAGTACATTTCGGTTATTGTGGGTTAATTATAGAATTTAAATATTGAAACTAATGGCTGAATTAAAAGGTGGTTTAAATAATAAAAAGTGATTAAATCAAATAACTAGAATAATCAATTAATTAAATTAATAAATTCGAATAAGGAAATAAAAAGGGAAATTGGATAAACTATTGAACAAGTGACTAATTATATCATCTTAATTAAAAAGGTGATTGTCTAGAGATCGAGACAGAGGAAGATAAATAGAAGCATTTGGATTTAAGGTAAGTTTCACGTCAACCGAAATTAGTTCTTTTTGCTTCGTGATTTCTTGGAATATTTTTGTATGCATATTTAAGAATTGACTTTATGTGTGCTGAATTTGATTAAATAGTTTTATATGAAAGGGTTGTATATGAGATATTAGTGATATATTGGTTTGTTAATATGAGTTATTATACACGATTTTGGGAGATTTTGTAATAGTACGTAAATTTCTTATCCTTGTAGAGTTTGACGAAAAAGAAATTTTTGAAGTATAAACTTCGAATGATTTTGAGAAGACAAAGAAGAATAAATATTTTCATAAAGAGTGGGCATCACAGGAGAAATCCGTGGTGTCGGTTTTCTACGTCCCTTAAAGTGTGGATGGTGGTTAGGTCTACTACTACTCAATTTTTGTTGGTATTGGTTTGAGGTGATTTGACGGTCGGTAGAAAACATCCCGACTTTTGAGTAGTAGTGGCAGTAGTAGTTCCTAATCATTCAGTTTTTGAGGTGGGGTAATTGGTAGAAAACATCCCGACTAACCGGATCGACTTACTAACCCGGAGGGCTTGGAATACCTTTAGGGGGTGTGCACACTTAAAGTAGTTGTTTCCGTTTCCATTGAGCAGTTGTGGTACCGGCGATAGTTCCGGGGTGGCCGTACATAACAACGGACCACCGGGCTCAACCAAAGTGTTGAGCATCACCCTTCTAAATTACTAGGAAGTTAGTTACAAAGTGATTTTTGGAGAAATTCAATAGAGGAGAAATTTTGGTGTTTCATGTATTTTGGAATTATTATGGTTCACGAGTTATGTGATTGGGATTTTGTACAAATATCGTTTACTTATGATTTATAAAGTGTTTTGATAATATTTTTATACTAATGGTTGTATGAATTTATATATATACTATTATTATTATTTTAAAAGGTTATGTGGGACTTACTTAGCATTATTGCTAATGTTTGTTTCTTTTTTTGTACTTGATTTTGTACAGATGTTGAGTTGACCGATGTTGAAGTTGATTTCGAGAGAGAGCTTTCGCTAGAAAGCATAGTTTGTAAATCATTGTAAATTTAAATTCCAAGATCTTTAGTAAATATAAGTTTTGGAGTTAAAATTCAGTTTTGAAGGTGGTTAGCCTGTGCACTCGGTTAGGTTAGAACCGGGTGTGGCGGTAACGCCCCTATTTCCCTTTAAATTTTCCGCTGCACATTTTCTGATGTTTTCAAATAAAGTTAGTATTACTTTCCAATAAATCATTATTTAAATGTATTTTTGGATGGGAAATTTGGGAGTGTTACATTCGGCTAGCAGCAAACCTGAAGGCCAGACAAATCCGTGTCAAGTGCGACTCCAAGCTGGTTGTTGGTCAAATCTCCGGAGAGTACGAAACGAAGGAAGGGAGGATGAAACAGTACAAAGAGGCGGCCAAGGAGTTGCTTAAGGTATTTGAAGCACATTCCCTCACTCAAATACCGAGGGCTCAAAACTCCAAGGCAGACATTCTATTGAAACTCTCGGATGAGTCCCCGGAGCACCTCTCAAAAATCGCGAGGATCAAGGAACTCAGCCTCTCAAGCATACATGTGAGCCCCGTCATGGACATACACCTAAGGCCGGAGGACTGGATCTCCGACATCATCACCTTCATCACCACAGGGCAATTACCTGGGGATGAGGCTCGCGCAAAACTGGCAAAGCTGAGGGCCCCCAACTACACAATCGAAAACGGAAGGCTCTACAAAAGGTCCTACAACGACACCTTACTCTGGTGCCTTCATCAAGATGAGGCCGAGGTCGCAATGGAGGAAGTGCACGGTGGCACTTGCTCAGCCCACCAGGGACCCTTCTCCATGTCCCGAAGGCTCATAGTTCAGGGCTACTTCTGGCCCACGATGGCCTGGGATTGTGCAAACCTAGCCCGAAGGTGCACCGCATGTTAACACTTTCAGAAGGCTCCCAGAAGGCCAGCGGTTAACTACGCCCCCATCAGCATGGCCATACCCTTCTCCAGGTGGGGTATTGACCTAGTGGGCCCTTTACCGAGGGGTACCTCCAACAACAGGTACATCATTGTGGCCATTGACTACTTCACCAAGTGGGTAGAGGTCGGCCCCTCGTCAGCATCACCGAGGCCAGATGCTGCCATTTCGTTCTCAAGGACATCCTCATAAGGTTTGGCGTCCCCCAACAAATCATCTCCGACAACGGAACTCAGTTTGAGGCAGCCCCCTTCTGTGCCCTCCTAGAGGCATGGGGCATCAAACACACATTCTCTTCAGTTGCCTACTGTCACGGACTTATTCTCGAACCTGTGCAGCACTAGCAACACTCACTCAAACTATGTTAGTCAGCCGAACTCTTGCGGAAACTAGGACACCGATTGTGGAGAAACTCGTACAAATGCTTTATTTCTCTCAAGCTTTCGATGATACAAATGAGACAGCCATGAGGGGTATTTATACTTGTTCTCCTCCTCAATGGATGACTTAGATCTACTTGATCTAACGGCTACAATTTAATTCTAGAGTATTCTCACTACTACAAAATGGTGTTATTACGTCGGTTAATTTGCCCCTTTAACGTCGGTTTTCAATGTGACGTCTAAGTAGGAGACGTTATAGGTGAACATATATTACGTCGATTATAAAACCGACGTCTAATGATGTGCTTTAAAAAATCCGGAAGACATTTCACGTCAGTTTCCATGGGAAACCGTCGTAAAAACTACATTTAGTGTTGTTTGTTTGAAATTCTGGAGGACATTTAACGTCGGTTTTCATATAAAAACGTAGTCAAAAGCATGATATAATTCTCACATATGACGTCAGTTGTGTTTATAACCGCCGTTAAATCTTCAATTTTTGGAAAAAAAATATAAATCCCCACTCAGTATTGCAAATGTTTAAAGCTTCCAAATCACATACGTAGTAACAGAATTCTCCAATGAATTAATACAATGTAAACTTGAAAAGGCAATGACATAACAACGTAAACTTGAAAAGGCCATGACACAAACCTCATCAAAACAATATTAATAACCTCATAAAAATTAGAAACTGAATATTACTGCATGATATATTACCAAATGTTCTCTCAATACAAATCTTCAAATTCTACCATTCTAGATTCTTAGAACAACTTATAATAAGTAGGTGTTTGCATCACTATAAATAAAAGGTTGTTAGGCTGGCCACCTTGAACAACAACTTCTTTGATGTCAAAACCTGTATTTATATCCAATAAATGAACCAAGGCAACAAGTTAGGCCAAACTAAAACATTAATCAGTCAGAACAAAAGAAGCCATCATAACAATAACACATCACTATAAAAAACTCTTCAATTTTAATTACTTGTAAAGCATTTAGCGCTATCTTCAATTCAGTGCAGGTGCGTATTTTTATTCCTCGCAAATACTCATGTCATAAGCTTGTTAACTGCATATGTTCTCCCTCTTAGGCAGATTCAATCCCTGACATCAGCAAAACACGTATAGCATATTAACATTCAGAAAATACATGGAATCTCATCATTGCACCTTAAATCTAAACCTAGAAGAGAAATTAAAATAAACAACTATCTTATATATGTGAAACTGAGCATTAAACATACTTTTGAATTTGAAACGTAGAATCAATTTCTAGCAAATAACAATAGGAATAAATAAGATCGAATTTGAACTCCCATATTAACATTCAGAAAATACATTGAATCTCATCATTACACCTTAAAGGTAAACCTAGAAGAGAAATTAATAGAAACAACTATCATATATGTTAGACTGAGCATCAAACATACTTTTTAATTTGAAATATAGAATCAAATTCTAGCAAATAACAATAGGAATAAATAAGATGGAATTTGAACTCCCGATGTGTACTTCTAGTCACTGCTATTTTCTAGTATACAACATCCATAAATAACAACTCTCGTACTTCCTTTTCTAGTATGAATACAATAATAGGTGTGAGCACTTCAAAAGTACTTACTGAGATAGTGATATGCATCATATCGAAGTACCGAACACTTACTATGACTGCAAATTGGAGGGTTGGCCGCATGATCTGGATGTGAGTAAGGGACTGGACTGGTAAGCGGAGAGGGGCTGTGACTGCAGGAGCTGTGCTAGACTCGGATAAACATGAGTACAAAGGGCTGCGTGGAGTGATTGGCGTGACTGGGGAAAGTTGGGGTTGCGGTTGACTATGATGATGGCTGGAAGGTGGGAAAATTGGCAGTCGTTGTGTGTGCATTTGTGGGGAGGGCGTGGGTAGTTTGTTAGGTGTCTGCATGGATGGTAATGATCAGGAAGACAGGAGAGTTGGAGGGAGGGCAGCGGATGGTGTGGCAGAGGACAGAATGTGGGAGTAAGGAAAATCATTTTCAAAAAATTGAACATCCCTTCTGACATAAATCCTACATGTTAAAGGATCTAAGCATCAATAATCCTTATAACCTGGGGCAAAACCAAGAAAAACACAACGAATGGAGCGAGATGAGAGTTTATTGGATGACTTGGCAATAAAATTAGGAAAACAGGCACAACCAAAAACACAGAAAATTAAATTCAGGAGATTTATTATAGTTCTAATATATAAATTTAAGCAAAGAATTAGGGCTTGCTTGACAGATTCTTTTTAGAATGGGCCATTTCAGCTGCAAAAGCATTTTGGTCATCCCAGTCATCGTCTCTTTCAATCTTTCTATGCTTAGAAAGATGACTAACCTTTTGCATCTTTTTTCAGTTTCATTGGTAGTTTGTTTAGTTATTTTAACCTTGTGGTTTCGATTTTTTCTTTCCTGGAGTCACCAAAAATATGATACAATAACAGCTATCTCATCGAATGCAGTTTTGTAGAGAGAATTCAGACTTAGATCCATACACAAACAAGAAGTCAGCAAAGCTTCAATTAATCTGTAACTTGGTATTATCCATTATTATATTCACATGTCACTACAGAGTAAATTTGTTATCAATTGCCAGATCTTTTTTAAATAAACTCTCCTATATGACGAAGAGACCATTTGCCCTCGTCCTTGGATACTGTTTCTTATTCACTTTACTTTTACAACATTGATTTATTGAAAGACCTGAGCATTTTTTAATTGCATATATTACACATTGTACCTACGATTCCATAACCAGCACATGCAACCTCAGAGCAATGGGAGTTAGGCCACCTTATTCTAGTTGCCTTAAGCCTACAGTTGCATAAGAGCTTTTAGTGTATGAATCACAGAAGGAAATATAAAGATCTAACTCTGATTAAAAGAAATAGCCCTTGTGAACTAACAGTAGTACAACTATACCAACCAGCATCTGCTGGCCTATAACTAACAGCTCGCAGCTAGTAGGTTGTGATTTGTGAACAGGTAACTCCAGAAACATCAATTAGTTATTAAGATAAGAGGCCAGAAACAAAACATCAATATCAAACATCAAGGAAAAATGAAATCAAGAAAGCATCCTAAAACAAGAGAAAGGGTTTATACTTCAGTTTCTAAAGCATAGATTCTTACCCCTCACACCCACACATGCTCCTTGGGGGAACTGTGCAAACATACAAATACAAAGATTAACTATGGGGTCCTGAAGTGTGGATCAAAGTACTAGTAGACTTGGAGGGATGAGAGATTAACTAGGGGTCTTAAACTGGATTGTTTCCTTGACCATTAAAGTGTGTATGTAACCTAACACAACTAGCTCTTTACCAGTTGAAATAGCTCTTTACCAGTTGAAATGGAGCCATTGATATCATTAACAAAGCCACGATTCAGAATTTTAAACAAAACCATTCATGTTCATAAGTCAATTGCGTGTAAGAACGAAAGAACCCGTAGCTATGAGTTTTGTATATCTTATTTAAGAGAAGAGTTTTATAAAATAGTGCTTGACTTTGTTTCTTATGAAAACCTACCATTTTGAAAAAAATGAAAAGCTACTTTACAAAAGCCCCTACTTGGGTGTTTCACCACCAGTTTTACTTTACCACTAAAAAACTCATTAACAGATTTGTAGCTACTAAAAGTATCATCCACAAAAAGTTCAAAATGCAAAGAATACATTTATCACATATTCATAGGTAAATAAAATAGAAATTAAAAAGTGTGGAAAATCAGTAGAACTAAAAAGATTAGAATATGAATATTTCAAATTCTACTTTCTAAAATTCGTACCACAGACCAAATCAAAAGAAGTTACCTAAAAGGAATCAAAATATCTACAAAGAAAAATTAACATACTAAGAAAAGGCAAACTAAGCACCGGCCAATAATTTCAACTTGCCAAAGAAATTTCAAACATTGAACGTAATCCCTAAAACGTCAGTTTTAACCAAAACCGTCGTTAAAACGTTCTTGCTTCTCCTATTACGACGGTTCTTTAATAACCGACGTTAAATGTGTGACGTGGTATATCATTCTTGTAGTAGTGTCTATACAACTCTATGATATTCTAGAGTATTGTACTCTATTCTATACAAGTGTACACTTATCTACATGAGTCTAGAATATTGTTTTAGCCTCCAGGACTCTGCCCCTCTCTCTTAGGCATCTCAAGACTCCAGCTGGTACTCTGCTCGGATTATGCCGCGGCCTACTTATGTGCCATGCCGCGGCATATTACTCTGTATGTTGCGGCATTCAGGAGGGTCGTGACACTACCCTCAGGGCAACGGACAAGTGGAGAACGCCAACCGAACTTTGCTGAAGGGTTTAAAAAAGAAGCTGGAAGCCCAAGGAGGAGGCTGGGTAGAAGAACTTCACAACATTCTATGGGCCTACCGCACCATCCCTCGGTGGGCAACGGGCGTAACACTCTTCTCCCTATGCTATGGGTTTGAAGCCAAGGCTCCTATTGAGGTAACTCTACCTACCCGAAGGGTGGATCAATACGACCCTGAGATCAATGACGCCAACATGTCCCTCGACCTTCATCTCATCTCAGAACACCAAAAGCAAGCCTTCGTCACGACTGAAAACTACCGACGACAAGTCAAGGGCTATATCGATGCCAAGGTCCGCTCCTGAGAATTTCATGTGGGGGACTACGTCCTCCGAAGGAGGGAGGCTAGCCAGCCCACCGAAGGAGGAAAAATGGCACCAAAGTTTGAAGGGTCATATATCGTCACCGCCATCATCAAACCTGGAACATACAAGCTGACACGCCCCAATGGGACCGAAGTCCTCAGGCATTGGAATGTGCACCACCTAGTCAAATTCTATCAATAACACATGAGTGGACAAGCCCTCATGACTCACAAATGTATTCAATCAACGGCCCAAGGCCCCTTCTTGCTCACGAGAATAAATACCAGTTCAAACGCAAAGTACCAAGTACAGAATGCATATGAGAGGCTAAGACCTCATCACTTAGCGATATAGGTGATCAACGGCCCAAAGCCCCCCTCCTCTCATGAGGATGAGTAAGATGTAATATCATTAATCAAGGTACCAAGTACAAAGTGCGCGGAATACACCCGCCACTCTCAAAACACCAAGTGTTTTTGAATAAGTCGTTCCCCTTGAGGACACACTCATGCATACATTGTTTCATGCATATTCATCCATCACACATACATAAAAAACGAAGGGAAAGTACCCTTCGGCTTCGGCAGGTACCAATTACCCCCGGCCATTTGTGTCTCATACACAAATAAAACCCTTCCCTGAAATGCTTTCCACGCCATCCCCCAAGGGGAGGTAGGCAACAGACCATCTCCCGGGCCCAGGATTCGACTTTCAGAAACGAAACGCTCCCCGCGCTATCCCCCAAGAGGAAGCAGACAACAGACAATGTCTCGGACTGAGGGGACGACTTTCAAAACCGAGGCGCTTTCCGCGCCATCCCCCAAAGGGGAGGCATGCAACAGAAGATGTATCGGGCCGAGGAAACGACCCTCAAACCCCTCGGGATCTGGAAGGTCAATCCCAAAGGGGAGAGCCAACGGTTTATTCCGTTGCCTCCCGTATAGGCCAAGCCTTCCAAGAAACCAAGTTTCTTGATGCCCCTCCTACAACATTCATAAAAAAAGATGTGTAGGGGGAAGGAACTCCCTGGATATTATACTCCTGGAGGCTCCACAACAGAAAACAACATCACGGAGACAATTTCCCGAAGGCTTCTTGTTCACAAGATTAAAAGATCACAAGGGTTATTCACCCAAAGGCTCCTTGTTCAATATTGAGAAAATCTCCAAGTTCAAAATAACTCAACTAAATGCCGAAGGCATTGACGTCTTAGTCTATACCAAGGGCATCCCAAGTAGAAACCTTCAACCTTAGTCAAGCTTTGTGCAATCACCGGAGGGTGCGAAACGACGAAATCTACTCAAACAACATGGAAATTTGGCTAAGTCCACGTTTTACACCCTCTCGGGTGAAAACTTCCAACCACACAATAGTTGGCTAAGTCCACAACTATTGCGCCCCCGAGAAAACTACCACATGCCGGGGGCAGTCCCATACTACTCAGCGAAGGTTCCTAACTCCTCTTGCCAAAGCCTATCGGAGAGGATCTAGTCTAAATGACACTTCAGCGTTCGAGGGCCTAACATATCTACCTTGGCTAAATCCACCATATGCCGAGGGCTTAGTAAGCACACTTTAGCCGAAGGCGGACCACGGGGACTAATGAAACAAGTTGGAAATTTTCTAAGTCCACAAAAATGTACCCGTTGTTTCTTGCGAATGGAGGCAGAATTCAACCGAGGGCTCGTCGGTGAATTCTACTTAGAAATTTTTCTAAGTCCACAATTATCAAACCCCGAGAAACAACTACAGGGCGAAAGCAATCTCATGCAACACTCACTGAGGACTATCGAAGGAGTGATTTGCCTGAGGCCCCCCAGAGAAACTGCTGCAAACCGGAAGGTACGACTTATCTGAGGGCTTTCCGTTATGGATTTCTTTTACTTAGAAAATATCTAAGTCCACAAAAGATTGGCCCCCGGAAATCTGTGGGATGAGGATCTAACATACAATCGTATATGGAGTCAAAAGGAATAAACGAAGGCATTCATGTCACAAAGCCCGAAGGCGCACCATTCATTCATTAAAAACATAAGAACAAATATATTTTTTTACGTACATGGCTGGAGCCGAAAGCCTACTGATCTATTACTAAAAATATTCTAAGGAAAATTTTCCTAACTATCAGCTTCTTTGCCATCTTCCCTTGGCTTTGAGGTGGCAGCATCCCCGGCCTCTTCATCATCATCGTCGTCGCACTTCGCCAACTCGGAATCCTCGAGCAGCTCCTTCTCCTCGCCTTCGGGTAGGGGGATCCTTACATCTGGCTGGAGTGGGGGGGGGGGGAACGTAAGTTTCAGGCTTGAACTCCTTCCGATCAACGCCGTAGTGTCGGGCGAGTTTCCGGTAGATATTGGCTTGGGTAAAATATTCACCGCCTTCGTAATAGCTCTTACCCTTCCGGGCAAGCCATAAAGCATCGGGGCTGCCAACCCAATCATCAACGGTAGCCTCAACCACCAAAGCCAGCCATTGCTTCTGGTCCCCAGCTTTCCACCCTCCGGCGACGAAGGCAGAGATCGCATCTTTCTCGGCTTGGAGGACAACCTCCTTCCTGGCTTCCTCGGCTCTCTCAGTAGCCGCCTGGGCGGCCTCGGCCGCAATCTTCTCAGCCTCGGTTTTGCCCTCGGCCTTACCCTCAACTCTGGCCACCACCTTGGAGTTCTCGATGATTCGGTGAAACGCCTCCTTCTCCAATCGGAGGGCTTCCTGAGCCTCTTGAAGCTGCCTCCGAGATCCGGTCAGGGTCTCGTCGGCCTGCAGCTTCTGCTTATGAGATTGCTCCATCCTCTAAAGCAGTTCACCAAGTCCGAGAGAAGCCTACAAAGGGAACCCATCAGGAAGAACTCATCGACGGGCCCCTATTGGGAGGGGTCCTCCTTCTTCTTCTTGGGCTCCTTGGCGAGCTGCCTCTTCATCTTGGCAAAGTTCTTTGCGTCCATGGCTTCACTTGCAAAAACAAAAGAGTGTTAGAATCCTGACAAAGCAAAGGAAATTTCCAAGTATGAAAATAAAGAGCCCTCGGCAAGAACCTTCGGCACTCTGATACACCCGATCAATCACGGGGTATCTCTCATCTTTCTCCTCCACCAGCTGGTATCGACGGAATTTCAGCTTGTACAACTCATCTGAGAGGGTGGCTTCTTTGACGGTTGCCAGCTTCTCGAAACCCTCCGACTTCTCAACAAGGTTTCTCCCGTTCTTCGCGAGAGCAGCGTTCCTTACCTTTGGGTGCCTCCGGAAGTTTTCACAAAGCATTGCAGGGAAGGGGTTCTCCGACATACGAATGTAACAAAATCTGTCATTCCATCCTTTATGGGATGAGGGGACTTCGGAGAATAACCTAAACTCCGGGACCTGTCGCAGATTGGCGAAACCCCCAGCATTTGAGTGTCCCCCCGACAGAGATTGAAGGAGAGAAAAAATTGGTCCAGTGTTGGTTCGACCCCCCCCCCCCCCCCCCCCCCCCGCTCCGACATAGGGAGAGGAAGCCAACCAAGTAGGAATGGCTGTTTGGCGTTATCTGGCAGGGGTCATCTTCACGAACTTGAAATATTCCACCACGAAGGGATGGAGTGGGAACCGAAGGCCCAGCTCCACCGATAGAATGTGGACGGTGAAACATCCCTCGGGAGCACGTACCAAGACATCATTTGGCACCGGTTCCACCCCACGTGCCGAAGGACCCGCAAAGAACTGCCTCGCTTGATATTCAGCATCCGTTGCCCTCGTCCTCACTTCCAGGGCCGCGGTATTGAGATAAGAATGGCCCTCAAGAATCCCCACTAGTTACCCGACGTTGGTGGCAGCAGACTACTTCTTCGGGGCTGCTCTGATCTTCTTCCTCTTCTTACCCGGAGCAACCCGAATGGGTTCCGGGTTAAGGGGCCGAGAGCTCCCGGCTTCAGCATCGTTGCGAAGGGGTGGAACAACGATGGTAACCTTCATCCTTTCCTTCTCTTCCTCCTCCTCAGCAACTTGAACGGCGAGGGCCAGTTCCTTGTCTTCGTTCACCTGCTCCATGTCTTCGAACTCCAGTTCGACCCGAAGGATGTTTTGTACCTCCTCAACTACGACTAAATCATTGTTGGCCGAGGGCTGCTCGCTTGAGGACTCCACCTCAGATATGCTCTCAGACTCCACTGAAGCCTCCTTCGAGATATTTTGGGAATCGCTTGCCGAAGACATTTTTGATAAAAGAAAGATGAAGGGTTCGAAGAAAGAAGACTACCTAAGTTCTCTAACACTAAATCAAAGGGAAGAATAGTAAAATATGCTGAGGTAATGAAGAACGGATGAAGAACTGACTTCGGAGAGTTGGGTTTGATCGAAAGTAGGTGTTTATCTCTCTAGAATTTTTGGCAGAGCTCCGCTTTAGTTCAAAAACGCGCAAGAGAAATGAATTCGGCCATGGGGTATATATAGGCTCCCCAGCCTCGAAGTATGGGCCTCAGTTTGGAAGCCCATCATTACTTGTCGCCACCTCAGCCAATGGGTGGCACCCACCCTCCTTCAGCCAACGAATGCATGCCACGTGGACCCCTTCTCCAACGGTCATATCCCAACGGCTATATTTTGAGACACCAAGGTGGCCTCAGCTGGCACCCTTCGAAACACATGCCTTCGGGTTGTGCATGCCTTCGAACGAAAGCAATATATGCCTTCGGCTTATCACGCATTATCAACCCCTCATCCGAATATTCCCTCGGATCAAAACATCGATTTAAACTCCTTCAGCCCGAGCTTGCCTTCGGCCTACAGGACTGGGGGACTGGGAGAACCCCTCAGGGAACTATAAACAAAAATGACATTGGCAAATAACACATGTAGCCTCCGGGCAAAATAATGAACACGACCCCTCGGGTGTACTAATCAATATACTTGGAAAATTTGCAAATTGTCAAATTTTCACGGAGATACCGAGGATGATAAAACAGCCTTCGGCCAAGAGAAGATGCACACTTATAACAACTTCCAACCAGGAAGCCCTCAGCCCTCGACATGTGGGGGACTGCGGGAATGCCCTCGACAGACAGCAGGGAACAAAGGATTACTTAAGGCATCCGAGAAAACAAGGAAGCCTTCGGGAGGATCACCACGATTACTCCTTTTCCCTCAAGTACCTTTCGACAAAAGGAGTGGGGGACTCCTGATGGAGTATATGACCCGGAGAACCCCAGCCCACAGAATCCTACTACTCCAACACAAGCCCAAGAAGCGCATGAGGCCCAAAGCATCGCAACCCAAGCTCAAAGCAACCCACAGTGCGCCTAGGAATGCCTTCGACACCATGGCCGAAGGCTCTAAACTCGAGGAAACAACTGATTTTAGGCATACAAACCTACTAGGAGAAAACGACAGAAATCAGGAGCCTTCGGCTCATAGGCGCCCTCGGCGTAAGGGTAGCCTCGGCTACACAAAGCCCTCGGCCACAGGGGAGCCTTCGACTACAACGCGCTCATCAACTTTTGCGCCCCCGGGTACACTATCCATCATTTATTTATATAATTGTAATTATAACTATAATTATAAATAGAAATATAATTACTCCGTATAATAATAAAAATTACAACAACAACAATAATAATAATTATTATAATTATAATTATAAATATAATTATATTATAATATTATAGAAATAATAATATTATAATAATAATAAATATATTATTATTATTATTATTATTATTATTATAACAATGATAATATTATAATAATATAAAAAATAAAAAGTATTATTATTATTATTATTATTATTATTATTATATAATAGTAATAATATTAATATTATTACTATTATTATATTATTATTATAATAATTATTATTATTATATTATTATATTATTATTGTTAATATATTATTATAATAATATAATAATAATATTATTTATATTATTATATTATTATATTATTATATTATTATTACATCATTATATTAATATATTATTATTA